CCATGGGAGTGAGTTCAATTCCAGACCTGAAGTGTAACTAGGGGCCATAGTCTCAGGGGTCTCACCAGGCTCCATCAGACTAGCAAACCTGGTCCTTTTTTTATGGTTCTGAGTTTTGTTCCACATTGTTCTTCCACTCTATCCAGGATTTCCTGCACTGATCCCTTTCTGAGTGGTTGATAATGGTAGCTGGACACCATCTAGTTCTTCTGGTCTCATGGTCATATATGGCTGAGGATCACATGATCTGCTAGTCCCTTGGACTAATTGTTTCCTTGTGTCTTTGGTTTTCTTCATTCTTGTTTGCTCTGGATGAGGAGAGACCTATTGCTGCATCTAGGTGGCCACTTGTATGCTTTTAAGCCCTCAGTTGCTACGCACCAAAGTAGGTTGTAGAATGGTGTTTCGTGTAGTATGTTATGCCAGTTGAACTTGATGTCCCCTGCAACCATGATCCTGAGCCCACAGGTCCAACTTCTCGCTCCCTCAGGGTGGTTGGCTGTGACCAAGAAGTTATCATAACTTTGCCCCTCGTTAGCTCTATTATATATATGGACATTCTTACACATACAAATACATATGTAGAATTATCTTCTGTCAACCTTATATATTGCTATGGGTATATTCCCTTTTACCTAGACATACCTGATCATTCAGCCTGTCTGCCCAATTATTTACCCATAGATTAATGTTTGTTATCACTTACAAAGCAGTATTGTGTATGTAAAGGGGTTTGTCTTTGTTGTCTATACCTCTCACGTACCTTTGTGTGTCTTTCTCTTCCTCAGTGCCACTCACTTTTGGTACATTGCCCTTCCCTTTACCTAAATCAATACTTGTCTCTACCTGTGTAGCAGGGTTCTCTCCCCTTCCCTCCCATCCCTGGTAACCAACAAAGAAAGTTGACTTCCATATGTAAACTTTCCTTGACTTTTTACAATAGTGAATGAATATAATATTTGTCCTTCTGTGATTGACTTCATTCACTTAGCATAATGTCCTCCAAGTTCATTCACATATGTGGTGTTTCACAGATTCTATGTTGTTCTTTAGTGTTGCATAGTATTCCATAGTGTGTGTATACCATAGTTTGTGTTCTGGTTACCTAGTGCCACTCTGAAAATAAT